TAATGAGTTTTTTGGGTTCATTGAGAACATGGTTGTTGTTCAATAATAAAATTATTCCTCAAAAATACAACTTGCCTAATAATTCTGCACTCCCTGTAGAGGCAGCGTTACATGACACATGAACACAAATACACGTGCAAACACTTGCTTCTAAGGGGCCTGCACTGTGGGGTTTTCAGCCACACAAAAATATGTTATTACATTTCAAAAAGTCGTTGAAATCTTACTTTACTTGAGAAAATGCATAATTTAGCAGAACAATAATCTAAGAACTGGAAGACACTCTAAGACAAATATGCTCTTTATCTGAGGGAGTGAGTGTAAGCGCCTGTCTTTGATGAATGTACTCTCGTCTGATATTTGGAATAAAGATGAAACAATAAATTTAATGTCAGAATTTGGGAGTTGTGATCGCTTAAAGCTGTACGACTTGCGGTGCTAGTGCAGACGCAGCCAATCAGGACGCATTCTTGTTAACACAACTCATCAACTATGTGTTATTTCAAAGTGTTCATTTAAGTAGGCAACTTTCCATGGATGTATGCGTTTCTTCCAGTTATCAAGCAGTTTGGACCAGTCATACTGGCTTCAGCTGCTAGAGAAACTGAAGCAGGCTGAGCAGAGGTGCTAAATAAACTACAAATAAACCTAAACTGACAAGGGAGGAACCTACACAAAGAAGGAGGAAATAGTATTATTGTAGGGTCTTTACCTTGCAATGTTGCGAATCTTGCAAAAGTGTGTTGTTGCCATTTGGTGCTATAGAAATAAATTAGTGGCTATCCCAGCTGACATAGGTAGACGTGGTACACCCTGGACAGGTCACTAATCTGTTGCAGTGCTAACACAACATGACTTAAGTAAAAGTCTAATAATTGTTAAGACTTGCTGCAGTGCCAAGGAGAAAATAGATTCTAAATATTATAAAGTATTCAGTATTTCTAAACTATAAATAAATATATCAAGGGAAAAAAGTGATACTTTGTTTCATGATTTGTAGTCTTCGCTGTTGGAAAACTGAACTGCATTAAGTTGATATGTGATGCGATCATTGATCTAGTGGATGCAGTAGCAAGAAGAAGCGGTGCGTTTGCTTGACAGTATCTACAGTTTTTAATGGCTGACTACTACAACAATACAAAATCTATGTGATATGAGAATTGCGATTATGATATTGACTGGACAGAATCCAAGAGAACCAGCGTGGAACTACAGAGCGGTGGAGCAGAGGATCGATCAGACAGTACTAATGGATTAGAAAGGTCCAGCTAGATGCTCTGATATCTGTCAGCTGCTTCCATGCGTCTCCTTAAATAAGTAACAAGATGCAGATCAATACACGGCAATCTGACACACTGAATATTCAACTGGCCAGAGATCAATAACGCCTCTCCCAACCTCTAACTAGCTTAATATGACAGAGGAAGACTGATGGAGAAAGCATATCAGCACGTACACAAACACAACCACGCAGCTCTAAAGGAGGTTGGGGAAGTGTCAAATAAAAGGGCAGCTTGCTTTTTTCCGCTGTGAGCAGGCGAGGAGAAAGAAAAAGAGAAGACTCGCATTGACATTTCACACCGATACACCGGTGTTTAAAAAAAGAAAAAAATGCTGTGGAGATCTCCTCCACTTGACAAACTGACATGCTCTACAAGAGAATACTCCTGTCTGCCTCAGCTGCCAAGACTTCCCCTCCAGCCAAACTTCATCTGTTGCCAAAAGTCACTCAAGCATTTTTCTGCACGGGGCATACACCAAGCAGAGCGTCTGGCTCACAAGTACTACCCCACCTGACCAGTGACCCATTCACCGTTTCACCGGGTGATGATGGGATCCATATGGGTTCAATTACAGATTTTTTTTACTTTTTATGGAGGGAAAAAACCCCTCTGCCTGAGAACATTTCTACATTTATAGAAAAATTCAGAAGTCATCCAGTTATGTGAAATTAGTGCCAGAGACCTGCCAAGAACAACCAGAGTCTTGGTTAAGTGATGGGATTTTAATGCCTTGCTCATGGGGCTCATGCATAATATTCAGTCAGGAATAGCTGATTTACTCTTTAGAACCGCATCTGGCACGCTGGTTGATGTAACAGCTTAGAAAATTGATCTAGATTTAAATTAAACCTTTAAAAGGGAAATTACATTACAACAAATTACGTAAATACAAGTTCATTACAATGGAAAAAAGAAATGTTTTAAGAAAAGTATCAAAAATGTTCAAGTGCTTAAAGTATTGAGAATCTCTTTTTATTTCAATTAATTTAATAATCAGGTAAAAATCTTCTTCAGATGCTTGTTAAGATTTCAGAAGTTTGGCTACCTAAGGAAAGCATTTGAGGAAAAAACATTTTATGGTAAGTATAAAAAAATAACGCTTAAATTAAAAACCGACAGATTGTATAAAATATATTTTGGCAAATTTTACAGTGTCTTTGAAATGAAAAACTCAGAGGGACACACTTGGATTACTGTCACAGGCAACTTACTAAACATGCGGTGCTTTGACTTCAATGCCTCCTCATCAACAACCACATGCCCATCAATGAGGTGAGTTTAACACGGTCATTGAGTCTTTATGCGATTTTATTTATCGGTTTCTTTTTCCTCCTCATGGTAGATGAATGAGCAGGGAGAGAAAAGAGAAACTGAGGATGATACCAACAGCAAAAAAAATAAAGTGAGAAACAAAGACTCACTGCATCCATCCTCGTCACTGTGGTCCCCGCAATCGTTGTCTCCGTCACACTGCCACTGGGCTGGGATGCAGGTACACTCCCCGAATGCACTGACTGCACACGTAAAGTGGTTCCTCCCACATGAGCACTCAGTGCTGCCCTGAACTCCTGCACACACACACACACACACACACACACACACACACACACACAGGAAGAGAAGATTAGAGTTTATCGCACATGCTCAGGTTAACTCAGGCACTGGAATTCATATTACCACAAAATGATTCTGCCAGATATACATAATAACTGTAAAGTATTGAGACAGGGACTTTTATCCCTGCCCGTGACCTCCTGCTTTGTTTCTCGCTTTAATCTTGACACTCCTCAGCTGCTCCCTGCTTAGTATGTTGGATAAAAGCCTGAGAATGCCACAGTTTTTTGTTATAAACAAAAACATAGTTTCTTTCACTTTAATGTAATTTTCTGTTTCATAACTCTCAACAGTAAACTTTAACAGTAAACCCAGTAAACTGGGACTCTGAATAGATTCAGTATAACCTTGCTTCTGAATTTTATGCTCTGATACCTGTCATATCTATTTTACAGAGTGATCGAAAGACTGTGCTGCTCATGTAAAAAGACGCTCCTTAGCTGCAGAAATAACAGAAATAACAGAAGCACATCAGCGCCTTGGTATACACATACAGCACTGCAATGGTTAGTCACTCAGTTATTCAACACATACTGAATATATTTGTTGTTTTTAGTGTTTTAATATCCTTGATTTGGAAAAGGTTTCACGTGCAAATCTTTAGTCCTCACTCTCACAAACCACTTTGATATAGAATAAAGTAAAATAAGCTAAAAGGGTCGTGTTATATCAAGTCAGCGAGGCCAAGCATCTCGAAGATTTTCAGCTCCCAAAATGACAGAGTAATTAAACTTTTCAAGGATGTGTGATTGTGCATTTGAAAAGCTGAGACCATCTCCTCTCAACACATATGCCTTACTGAAATATCTAAGCTATGTGGTGATGCAGAGGCCACGTGTTGCTTTCAGTTTAACTGGGCTTAATATGCGGGAGCGAGTCTCGGGGAGTAAAGTCTACTGTTAAGTTTAAAGTGAGTTAAACAACAACAAAACAAGCTACGATACACAGAAAGTCTGACTCATTTTAGCTCCTGAGAGCGATGATGTTTAGAACATCTGTATGTGTACACATGTCCTGTGGTGTTTCCAACTGAAATCCTCTGTGATAAGTAGGATGGGTGTCTTTTAAAAGCATCAACAAGTGACTGATTCAGTAAATTTTCCCCCTGAAGTTTCTTCTTCAAAAAACAAAACAAAACAAAACCCCTGACAGTGAAATATGCATTGTTGTTGGACTGTACTGACACTAATGATTAACAAAGTGATTGATGAGTTCTGTGTGCTAAAAACTGATAATTTAGTCAATTTACTCATCTGACAGAGAAATCACTAAGATGTGACTAAAGACTGAAGTTTATTATGTTTAGGTTTTTCTTTTTAGGTCGACTATCAGTGAAATGAGCACGTTCTGAAATGCTGAATCCCCATTCAGTGGACTGAGACAGCTTTCCAGTGTTTATGACCAATCTCTTGTAACAAGCTAAACTTTTATTGTTACAAAACATATGCTGTAAAAAGAGTAATAAATAAATATGCAGATAACATACGAGAAATGTAAATGTAAAATTTACATTTCTATTCAGAACACAATTGAACACTGAACTGTAACACCAAGCTAATGTGTAGCATTACAGTATTATACCGTGGCTTTTCTCTCAAGTCAGAGTTGATTCTCCATCTTCAGTGCACCCAATTATACATTCCCTCAAATATCCCTGCGTAAATAAACACAAAACATTTAAAAGAGCAGGGGACAACATTATAGCAAACCAAGCAGGCGGTTGCTTCAATTGTGGAAACTTACACACTGCCGAGTGCAAAAACTTTAGCATATTTTTTGCAAAAAGGTGCAAAAGTTATACTTCAAATAATTTACTCATCAATATTTTTTTCAGTTACATGGCATTTAGCTAGCTTACATTTAGTTAGCAATTTGCCAGTGTGACCGCTACAGCAATTTATCACAGCAGCCAGTTTATTTTTAGGGTGGTTACTGCAATGTTGAATACACCAGTGGTCCCACACACGAGTCAGAGAGAATGTCAAAGCTTGTATCTTGTGGCAGTCCAAGAAGGAAAAAGAATTATATTTACAGTACACTGAATGTAGACATGCTGATTCAGAACATTGTTAAGCACGGGAATAGGCGGTTTTATTAATATAGGCATACAGCAATTAAAATATTAAATAATAATAACATTTTATGAAAAAATAACATTGAAATACTAAAATAACAATACAGTAGTAAGCAGATGACAGTATTATACTGTAAAGCTCAGAATCTACAAGTAAACTACAAAATAACTAATAAAATCTACACTGAACTTAAAAAAAAGCAAAGAAAATTTTGATCTATAAAACATCTTCAATTTATCTCTGTTGCAACACGGTTAATTAGATGGATCAAATATAAATATCAGTTACTATCCTTTTATGTCATACACTGGGCATCTGTATACCAATAAACACTGGGTCTGATTTACTACCACAAAAAAGGAAAAGAAGGAAGAAAAAAAAGACACCACATCTTCAGACACATCACAGCAAACCATAACCAGGGGAGGAAATAAATAAAGGTTTCCCGTTTTGCTCTCACTTTGAAGCCCATTAATGGCCATCTGTGTGTGTGTGTGTGTGTGTGTGTGCGTGCGTGCGTGCGTGCGTGCGTGTGTGTGCACGTCTGTTTTGCTGAAGCTGGCCTGCCGCAACAAACCCAAAGTTTCTTGGAGCACGCATACGAATGTGTGTGCGTATGTGTGTGTGTGTGGTTCCTGGCCTCCTCACAAAGGCATCAGTCAACCCAGGAGGGCCTGGCAGAGAGAGCTCAGTAACCTTCAGATCCCTCCCACAGCACTAAATTAATGGCCTCTTTCTTTTCATTTCCCTCTCTCCCTTTCTTTCGCCTCATTCTTGTCTTTCCATCATCTCCTCTTCACACTTTCCCCTCAGATACCTCCATTATTCCCCCCTCTTCCTTACCCTCTGCTAGACAACTCTTCATTTACATCCCGTTAAATTTGTTTTCATTTTCATGAATGCTCTATAATTCCTACAGTCCTCAGACCCTAGGAGTGGGACATTTACTCTCAGAAAAAAACAAAATGGGGCTATCAAAGACAGACTACCTGTCTGCTGGACAGACTGGGGTCTGAAACTCCCCGTGTTAAACTTTTCAGGTTGACACGGATCGCTTATATTGGCTTTGTAGCGTTAAGCTTATGCATATTTTACTCAGATGTGAGTGTGGGCTTGCACTGAGCTAAATTAAAGTGTGCGAGCTGGAGCAGAAGTCTTGTCAACATGAAACCACATCACAGGCTGCACATTTGTCAAACATACTTTAAAAAGCATAGGTCACTGGCTTCAACCGCAGCCAAAGAAACTTATTGACTATAGCAGGAAGCAATCAACCACACTGTCTTACACAGTCTCACATATTTCCAACCGCTTAGATCAGGGGTGGGCAATCTCAGTCCACGAGGGCCAGTGTCCCTGCAGGTTTTAGATCTCACCTTGGGTCAACACACCTGAATCACATGATTAGTTCGTTACCAGGCCTCTGGAGAACTTCAGGACATGTTGAGGAGCTAATTTAGCCATTTAAATCAGCTGTGTTGGTTCGAGGACACATCTAAAACCTGCAGGGACACCGGCCCTCGTGGACTGAGATTGCCCACCCCTGGCTTAGATGGTGTGGCAGTCTAGAAAATGTTCAGATACAGACACAGTGACATCATCAATATTTCAGTGTCAGACTGGACAAAAACTGCCTGTAGACTGAAAGAGTTCTGGTGAAGGAAAGACTGTATCACATGTTCCTGTAATTGTTTTACAATGTTGCCAACACTATGTCACAAACAAAAAGTCACACTGCTGAGGTGTAGCAAATGTGCTTTATGGTACTAATACCCTTGACACACAAAGCTATCAAACCAGAAAATCAAGTCATCTAATGTTCATCCTGTGAACTGATGTGAACATGGAGCAAAATGGAAAAAATAAAATCTTAAGGGTTAAATGCCAGTAAATACAGCAAACGTTCGTGTAATCCCGTCAGTGAAAATAATCACAACTTTAAAACCAAAAATGTATGAAGCGAAGAAGATGCCGATGTTCCTCGATGAGACTTATGATGACGGGTAAATGCTCGGTCAGAGGGCATACAAAAAGACATTTATACCGTCTATAATGAGAGGGTGAACCTAGCAGGAAAATAAAGAGGGAATCATCACCCCTAGATTGTTATGCAAGGCTGCGGACAAAAAAAAAAAAAGTAACAAAACAAACACAAACACTATGCAGCAGCCAGGCCTAGCAGGCCGGTGCTTTCAAGAGCGCCAGCATGACAAGCCTCTGATGAATCACACAGATAGCAGATCACAAGCTGGGCTGTTTTCTAAAGACAGAGGATCACTTTGAGTTGTAAGCACAAGTTTAGCAACAATACATCATCTGAATAAAGGCTGAGGAGCACGTACAGTATAATCACCTGAAATTTGAGTTTGGAAAACTGATAGCAACAAGTTTCAGACACAAAAAGCTCCAAAACCAGTATCAACTTTTTTTTTAGGGAAATTCCTTGATATTATCAAACTTGTAGACTTTCAAAAGGTTTCCAACAAAGAGAATCTGGATTGTGACTGTGATTGTGTGGGTGATTGTGAGTGTGTGTGTGTGTGTGTGTGTGTAGCAGAAGCTTTGCTTTGTTTAGTGTTACTCAAGGATAGACGTTGGTCTAAATGTACATGTAGATATTTTTAAGCTATATCCCGCTCTGTGGATTGGTTTGACAGTCATTTTTGAGCAGAGACACAGATAATCAATCTCTCCCATCACCTGCAGATGATGGGAGAGATGGTAGAGCCCAGTGTGTGAGTTGTGACTCAGGAAAGAAAAAAAAAAAACCTCAGGCAGAGAAAAAGAAACCAAAGACCACCAAAGATCCTCCACTGCCGGTCACTATGGCCTTACACTGTCTAAACAGGCCTGGTATGGAACAAGACAGGTGGTCCCCA